CCCCCCGCCGCATGCTCCAGATACATGCGCAGAGGAAGGATGTCTTATTAAAATTGGAGAATATGGAATAAATTCCATTTTGCTGGGTAGAGCCTTTGAAACATAAAAGGCTCAGCCAGGTGTGCTGTACAGTGAGTCAGGAGGACCCCAAGGTGGAGCCTGGCCCGGGCAATGTAGTGACTCAGTGAGAACTTGCTACAAAATTTAAGAAGTGCTGGGGATGTAGCTCAGTGAGAAGGCCCTGGGTTCAACACCTAGCACAAGAAAGAAAAGAAAGGAAAAGAGCAGGGACTCAGCACAGACAGATGCGCCCCCCTCCCATTCAGCCATCCGGGTTCCTGTCCCACCAGGTAGCCAGGCCCCAGCGCTGGGGCCCACAGACAAAGGCTTGGCACAACCCCAGCCTTGGCGCAGGGCTGCGGATTTGGCTTCGTCTTTCTCTCCAGTTCCTCTGGTTAGTGTGGCCTTTGTCCTGCTAGGGGAAGGAAAATTCTACGACTCCTGCTTGGATACTCTTGCACACCCATGAGGGTCCAGTTTATCCTTCCCGATTTCCACATTGTGGTTCGGGGCCAAATACCCAGGTCAGCACACAGTGCTCTCGCGCCTGGTGGTGTCCTGGGTCCCGGGCACCTCCCTGGGAGTAGGGATGGCTGGCCGGGGGCGTTCCCCAGCCCACACCCGCTCCATACACCTCCCTACTCACAGGTGCTCTGAGCTGGCTGGCAGACAGAATTCGGCTGGGCTGGCTAACAGAAATGGAAACAGAAAGACCGCTGACAGCGGCACTGCTTCCTCACTGATGAGAGTGCTGAGGGACTAGGAGGGCAGAGGTCAGACGTAATTCTGAGGCTTAAGAAACTAAATGACAGAAGATGGAAGTGGTTGATGGTCACCTGAAGGGAAGTCAATTTAGGCAGAAGGAGGATATGTTTGGCCTCAGATGGGTCTAGTGACAGCTGGTAGCGGGCAGCCTGGAGTTGGGGACCATTCCTCTGGTTGAGACGGAAGAGCGGAGCAGCGGGCTGGCCGCACACTGCGGGGAGTCGGGGGACTAGCGGGGAGGGAAGAGTCCCCAGGGGGCTTGGACTCAATTGGACTGACTCAGTTCTGAGAGTGACGGAATAAGTTTTCCAATAACTGCCTAACACTTAGCTTTGGACAGTTGCTCTTTTTAAAATGAGGTCATTCCATGCTTCCATTTATTTATTCAACAAATACCTGCAACAGTCACCTTTAGGTGTGACTCGCCAGCTCAACAGAGCCTCCCTTCTCTGGAAGCTGCCCCCACTCACTGAGGTGGCCCCACCTGTACCTCACAGCCTCCCCAGCCCCGACTGCTGGTGGTCACCTGACCAGAGCCGCGTCAAGCGTGTTCTCTGTGCCAGGAATTCAGAATGCTTGGCTCAGAGACACAGAGACTGGGAGCAGAGTCACATGAATGGTGGAGCCATGGAGATAAGGTCCTGGGCACGCCTGAGGTCCCCAAGATTGCCATATTCCTTCGGTGCCTTCTGGCCACCGATGATTGGCCCAAAAGCAGGTTCCTAGCTCAAGCTGGGCCAATTAGATCTTTTCGCGCAGATTTTCAAACTGAAATGGAAAGTGTTCGTCTCCCCTCCTCCTCCTTCGAGCTACAACTTGGGTGGCTTCGGGAGCTGTAGGCAGAGGCCGTGACCCAGCAACTGGGCTGGGGAGCAGAGAGTCTGAGGAGTGGAGAGGAGTAGGAGTCACACAGAGAAGGGCTGCACGTCCTGGTTGCCCCACAGTGCTCCCGTTGCTGGTTCTCTTCCTGAGACCCTCAGTACTTTGGGTTTCATAACCAGGAAATTGCCTGCTTGGTGGAAAGCATCTCAAGCTAGGTTTCTCGTGGGCAGACACTTCCAGCCCAGACTTCAAACAAACCCACGTCTGCTGGGTGTGAGGCTCCGGGTGAAGGACTAGACAAAGTCTCAGGGTTGGTGCCACCCTCGAGGATCTTGGACTCATGGAGAGATCAGCTCTGTTCTGAAAAGCTTGAAGATGAATAAAAAAGAAATGCTAGAAAAAAATAACAACAGTAACAAATATGCAGGGGTCCTTTGCTGAGCTTATTAGAGGAATGGACATAGTGGGGGAAAGAATCAGTGAGCTTGTGGCCGGGTTCACAGAAACTTCTAAAATTTAAATGCAAAGAAAAAACACTTTAAAAAAGGGAGAGAGAAAGAACAGACTATCCAAGAATTGTGGGACAATTACAAAAGATATAAATATACATAGTGGGACCAGAAGATGAAGAAAGGAACAGAGAAATATTTGAAGGAATAATGACTGAGAATTTCCTAAGATAAATAATAATGTATGAATATTGACTTTCTCTTGGCCTTGTTCCAGCTAGAACAGGACAGAAGACTTGGGAATTAGGCTTTCAAGAAAAACCCTCCAGCCAGGTGTGGTGGTGCACGCCTATAATCCCAGCACTCAGGAGGCTGAGGCAGGAGAATCACTGCAAGTTTGAGCCAGCCAGGATTACATAATGAACTCAAATCCAGCCTGAACTATACAGTAACACCCTGACTCAAAAAAACAAAACCAAACCAAAACAAAACAAAACAAACCCCTCCATCCACCAACTGAAAAAAGAGTCAGAGAATAACTGGCCCAGCCCCCTGGCTTAGGGTAGGCAACAGAAATTATTATACAGCCTAGGCTGACTTCCCGAGTTCTTCAGCAAGATCCAGGGCTGACAACCAGAGCAAAAAATATTTTTGATTTCCATAGGAAATAGGATCCTCGGATTTGTAGACTAAGGGTAAAACAGGACCATTTAAATGATTTGGTGGGGGCTGGGGATTTAGCTCAGTGGCACAGCGCCTGCCTGGCAAGTGCAAGGTTGTGAGTTTGATTCCCGGTACCAGAAAAAAACAAAAAAACCAAACAAACAAATAAATGATTTGGTGAATTGATAGAAGGTCTGACTACACAGCAATAATTATAGGAAATACTGTTTTAAGGCAGACAAGGGCTAGGATTTCCTTAGCAGTAGTAATGACATACGTTGAATTTAAAATCTATTTTATTATAAAATGACCAGTTTCTAACAAATGAAAATGTATCACCTGTTCCTTAACTGGGTAAATAATATTAAATTTCACTGAAACTGAAAAAAAAAAAAAAGATTCAGTGCTGAGCCCACCACAGCAGCCTTCCCTACCTTACACCCTTTCTATTTTTTTATTGATGCCTTGTTTTTTTTGGTCTTTTTGAGACAGGGTCTCGCTATGCAGTTCAACCATGGCTTTGGGCTTACTTTGTAGCCCAGGCTGGCCTTGAACTTGCATCTATCCTGCCTCAGCCTCCCAAGTGCTGGGATTACAGGCGTGCGCCACCATGCCCAGCTCTCAGAATGGTGACAGTGGACATCCTTGTCTTGTTCCTCATTTTATAGTGAAAGCTTTCACTTTTTATCCAAATATTGTGAAGTTGGCTATTGGTTTTTCATAAATGGCTTTTATCAGATTGAGATAAAGATCATCTATTCCAATTTTCTGTAGGGCTTTTATCATGAACAGGTGTTGGGCTTTGTCAAACACTTTTTCTCCATCAGTTGAGATGATCATATAGTTTTTGTCCTTGGCTCTGTTAATATAGTGTATTACATTTATTGTTTTGCATCTGTTGAACCATCCCTGCACCCCTGAGGTGAATCCTACTTGGTCATAGTATATAATGCTCTTGATGATTTGTTGCATTTGAGTCTTTCCTTTTTTTGATAAGGTTGACGAAGGGCTTGTCAATTTTATTTAATATTTCAAAGAACCAGCTCTTCAATTCATTGATTCTTTATATTGTTTTCTTAGTCTCCATTGCATTAACTTCTGCTCTGATCTTTTTTTTTTTTTTTTTTTTTTGGTCTTTTTGAGACAGGGTCTCGCTAGCAGTTCAGGCTGGCTTTGAGCTTACTTTGTAGCCCAGGCTGGTCTCAGACTTGCAACGATCCTCTTGCCTCAGCCTTCCGAGTGCTGGGATTACAGGCGTGTGCCACCATGCCTAGATTTCTGCCCTGATCTTTATAATTTTCTCCCTCGTACAAGTTTTGGGCTTGACTGGCTCTTCTTTTTCTAGAAGCCTGAGGTTCAACATTAGCTTGTTCATTTGAGCTTACTCTGTTTTCCTGATATGGGAATTCACTGCTATAAATTTCAATTGTAGGACTTTGAATGCATCCTATAAGTTCCAGTATGTTGTATCAGCATTATCATTTAATTGTAGAAACTGTCTAATTTCTCTTTAATTTAACTGTGACCTGTTGGTTGTTCAGGAGGGTGTTATTTCATTTCCATGTGTTTATATAATTTTTGTGGTTTCTTTTGCCATTGATTTGCAATTTCATTGCACTGTGGTCTGATACTATGCATGGAATAATTTCAATTCCTTTGCATTTACTTAAGTGTGCTCTGCAGCTGTCATCATGCTCTGTGCCACTTTGAACACCTGGGCCTTCCTGTTCTGAAACCCAGAAGGGAGAGAGGCGACAGGAAGTGGTGCTTCTCCCTTCGTAGGCTCCCTGGGGACCTGCAGACTGGCACTGGCACACTCCCCAAGAGGTCACACCTGCTGGGAACAGACAAGGGTGGCCAGGCTGTCTGCTCCCGCCTGGGGGACGTGCACGAGCCTCCTCTGTCTCCAGCTGTTGAGTGCTTATCTGCACTCTCAGCTGCATAAAGTGTCTCAGAGACAACAATGGGCGTGCTGTGACTTTCACTCACCCAGAGCTGCTGTTAACCAAGTTCACTGATGACTGTAGACGGGAGATCAGAGAATTTTCCCAGGAAACCACACAGGCCGGCCCCTTTCTTGAAAGTCCTTTCCCTCTTTCTCACCGGTTGTGGCTTCTCTTCAGCCCTCTGGCTCTTCCCCAGGCCTTTGTTTCCTCTCTTTCCCACCTGGTTAATATTCTCCACCTGTTTAGGAGCAAAATCAGAACCTTCGCTTCCAGAAGAGCCACTTCCCCTTCCTACCTGCTAACTCCATTCCTGTGAGCCACATGGACATCCCCTGGAGACTGTTCGGGTTCTTTTCCTCAGAGATGCATGGGTCTTTTGCACATGGGAGGGGGATCTAGAGATGGGGAAGGCAGAGGACGGGGAATAGGAAGAATGAAGACATGGTAAGTGCGCGTACCTGCTCCATCACATGAATAAGACAGTATGTGCTGGGCTGGGGATTTAGCTCAGCGGCAAAAGCGCCTGCCTGGCAAGCGCAAGGTCGTGAGTTCGGTTCCCGGTACCGGAGAAAAAAAAAAAAAAAAAAAAAAAAAAAAAAAAAAAAAAAAAAAATTAAAAAAAAAAAAAAAGACAGTATGTGCTGCAAACATGTACTGTGGTAATAAAAAACTTTTTAAAAAGACATATCCGTTCCTAACATATTCTAGCAACAACTGTTTTGTTTTTTTTAAAAAAAAAGACTTTAAAAATCTTAGGTTAAAAAAATGGACTCAGGACAGAGGCCTGCGTGCAGAGACTTATTGGAAAATACTTTGCACAGCGGTCAGGACTGAGGGGGAAGAGGGAGCCCAGGGAGGAGTGCGTCAGGATGCACTCGCCTGATCCCAGTGTCAGGGCAGGTTCTGGAGCTGCAACGGCCTTCGAGGTCCCACCACCGCGGCAAAGGAACCTCTGCAGCCCGCTGCACACACTGCCACGGGTCAGGCTTTCAATGCCAGGTGGCCCACACGGCAGACGGTGAGTCCAGATGGGGACAGCAACGTGGGGAATGAGCACCTCAGTCCTGGGGGCGGGGTGGACAACACAGCTTCCACTGTGGTCCTAATAATTTTTCAAATGTACTGTTGGGCCAGGGATATAGCTCAGTGGTACCGCACCGGCCTGGCAAGCATGAGGTCCTGGGTTCGATTCCTGGTACCCACAAAAAATAAAAAAATAAAATAAAAGGTACTGTATTAAATAACCTGTGTCTGGTGCTGGGGATTTAGCTCAGCGGCACAGCGCCTGCCTGGCAAGCGCAAGGTCGTGAGTTCGGTTCCCGGTACCGGAGAAAAACCAAAAAAATAAAAAATAAAAAATAAATAACCTGTGTCTATAGGAGATCTGATGAACAAAGAGTGTCTATCCATGCCAAAGAATACTACACAGCTGGGAGAAACTCTGTATACTAATGTGGTAGTCAAGACATATACTTTAATGAAAAAGGCTTGCAGGGAAACAATGTTATCTCATGATTTGATGTTTATATTTAAAAAATATTTACTTGTGGGACATGGTGGTACTAGTCCTAGCTACTCAGGAGGCTGAAGCAGGAAGACTGCTTGAGCCCAAAAGTACATAGCATAAGTCTGTCTCTTAGAACACAAAACAAAACAAAAACCAAGACTGTGTCTCCTAAAATAGAACAGAACAATATATATGTATTTTTTTCTTTTAAATTTTGGCATTTATGGCTGTTTTATTTTTGTGGTACCCTGGCCTTTGCACTGAGCTACATCCATAACCCTTTTTTTATTTTTGATTTTGAGACAAGATCTCATTAAGTCACTAAATTGCCCAGCTGGGCCCAAACTTGGGATCCTTCTGCCTCAGCCTTCCAGAGTGCTGGGATTACAGGTGTATGCCACCATGTCTGATTGTTATTGGGATCTGCTGGCTATGCCAAAATGTTATCAGGTAGCTCCTTCTAAAATATGGCTCACCAGTTAAATATTACTGGGTTCTGGGTTGCTTGTTGCTCTTTCTGGAGTCAGATTCCAGGTTCTTTTTGTCTCAAACAATTTTTTTTTTTTTTGAGACAGGGTTTTACTAGGCGGTTCAGGCTGGGCTTGAGCTCACTTTGTAGCCCAGGCTGGCCTCTAACTCGCAACGATCCTCCTGCCTCAGCCTCCTGAGTGCTGGGATTACTGGCGTGTGCCACCATGCCCAGCTCATCTCAAACAAATTGAATGAAATGGGCAAAAGCAGTGGCAAACTTCATTTGAAAAGTAAGTGTCCTGAGAAACCACTTTGAAGATACCACCATATATTACAGCAGCCACTGATATTTTCCTACTAATCTGCCCATAACTCTGTAATGTTTGTATTGTTCCTATGCTATTTCGTAAATGGATATATGTTTATTATTATGTGTTTCCTACAACAACCATTGAGAATAGTCAATGATTATTCAATTGGTCACTTATGTATAGCTCTATTTGTTTTCTTTAGAAGCCACTTTGAAGATACCAAAGTATAGTACAACAACCATTGATAATCTTCTACCACTTTTGTCTATAACTCCCTATTATTTGTCTATTTGTTTTCCTGAGAAACTATCTTGTAGATTACAATATATAAAACAACAACCATTGATAATTTCCTACCACTTTGTCTGTAATTTGGTAAGCCCCCCTATTACTATGTTATCTTTCTTTTACTCTTTAAAATAATTTTTAAAAAAGAAAGAAAAGTAAAAGTGAAGAGTGAGGGCGAAACTGGCTCTGCAGAGCAAACTTGGGCTGAATAAAAGAGGGAAGAGCAATAAAAGAACTCTGGAGAAAGCAGGGTGGGCCACCGTGATAAAGCCAGGATAGCGAGCTCTTCTTGGCAGCTGTGTCCTTTTATACTCCCCAAATCTCGAGGAAACCAGCAAGAAATGCTATACAGGGCATCCTGAGAGGTGGTGCTGGGATCCCACACCTCAGGCTGATGTCAGGTCCAGGCCATTCCCTGAAAATCTGCTTGAATTCTCACAAGAAATCCATGTGCAGGGCTTTGGGAACTGTTCTGCGCATGTGTTCCAGGATCTTGTCATTACCAGGGCAGCCCTACTCCCCCAGCCAGCTTTGCTATGCCTTAATCTCCTACGTCATGGTGGCAGTTATGTTTTTCATTGACATGTAATAATTGTACATTTTTACGAGACACAATGTGATATATCAATACATGGATACATTGTGTAATGTCCAAATCAGAATGCTAATTAACATATCTATCATTGCAAACATTTAGAATGTATTTGTAGTGAAATATTTAAATTACCTTCTAGTGGGGCTGGGGATTTAGCTCAGCAGCACAGCGCCTGCCTGGCAGTACAAGGTTGTGAGTTTGATTCCTGGTACCGGAAGAAAAACAAACAAGCAAAATACCTTCTAGTGTAGAATTTTCATATGAACTACATTTGGGGAGAGGTTTGTAACACAACATTAGCAATAAATATCATCTTTATTGTTTTTGTTTTGTTTTGTTTTTCTCCGGTACCGGGAACTGAACTCACGACCTTGCGCTTGCCACGCAAACGCTTTCGCCGCTGAGCTAAATCCCCGTCCCCAATATCATCTTTATTATAATAATCTTGAGAAAATAAATCTTTTCTGGGGGAGAACAAAAGAAACCATAGCCATAGGACACCAGATAGGTGACTGAATTTGAGAGGAAGGACTCTTTCACTTTGCCCTGAATTTCTCTCCTCATGAAATGTGTGTCAAAAATGGCATTGCTGGGGCTGGGGATTTAGCTCAGCGGCACAGCGCCTGCCTGGCAAGCACAAGGTCGTGAGTTCGGTTCCCAGTACCGGAAAAAAAAAAACAAAGAAAAACAAAAAACAAAAACAAAAAAAAAATGGCATTGCTCTCCACTTCCTGCCTAGGTCATGGTACAGTCCGTGCAGCTGTTGAGCAGCTGTTGTGCCCGCTCCACGCTGAGGTGGCTGTGAGCACCTAGTGGGCCTGCTGTGTGCGCTGTGGACAGGGCAGCAGGAACAGGAAGAGCAGGGTCACCACGACTCCACACGGCACACAGCACATCTCGGCCAGTGGCCGCTGCTCAGCATCCCCCGTGGCAGGGATCCCCGTCCGCTCCCCTTAATTTCATCTTTTTCATCCTCCTCGTGGAAATAATAATGATCACGTATTTATTGAGTTTACCATGTGCCGGACAAAGTGCAAAGCACTCTCTCCTCGTTATCTCATTTCTCTCTTGAAACTGTGTGAGGCTGTGTATAGTTATCAGCATTTGACAGCTAAGACACTGAAATCTTTTCCCAACCTTGATGAATACAAAACCACTGATGGTATACAAATACCATCTTAAATGGGTACGTTTGCCTGTGTGTGGGTACTATCTCCACAAAGCTGCAGAGGGAGAGAGGAGGGGAGGGAGGGACAGAGAGGAGGGAGGGAAGGAGGGAGGGAGAGACAGAGGGAGGGAGAGCGCTGTCACGCCAAAATGTGCCACCACTTGAATGGCCTCAAGGCAAGAGGTGCAGGTGAAGGAGTTTGAGGACTTGCTGGGGTGTATGTCCCAAGCACCCTGGGACAGCATCCAGCTGAAGTAACAGAATGGGTATGGGGGGGCAGCAGGCTGTGATCCCACATGTCTGTCTGTGCCTCTCTGTCCCTCCCTGTTCTGTGCATCAGCCTGGTGTCCGAGCCTGCTGCACGGGGAGATCCCGGCAGCGGGTGCCTGTGCTCCTTCTTGGGGCCAGCGTTATCTCAAAAGAGCAGTAGAAGTTTAACCCTTCACCTTAGCACAAGAAATCTCAATAATGCTGTTGAGCTCTTTAAAGATGACTTCAACTGCTATACAATGTTGCAGGGTAGTTTTAAAAGCTTTAAAAAATTTTTATCTCCTATTTGGGCAAAATTTCTCATTGATGAGCAATTACCAAAAACTGGAATAGATCATCATTCAGATATATTCACTGAGCCGGTGTGGTGGCGCATGCCTGTAATCCCAGCACTCGGGAGGCTGAGGCAGGAGGACTGTTGCGAGTTCAAGACCAGCCTCGGTTACAAAGTGAGCTCAAGGCCAGTCTGAACTCCATAGTGAGACCCTGTCTCAAAAAAAAAAAAAAAAAAAAAATTCATTGATAGTTATTTCTAGCAACTTCAGGCATAAAAAAGAGCATTGGAACAGTTGTGTAGCGCTATACTTACCACTGTCACTGCCCAGGGCCACGGGGCACTCGGACTGTGGCTGCTCCAAGTGAGATTTGCTGTCTGTGTAAAACACACACTGGATGCCGAGGACTTACTAAGAAAACAAGAACGTAAAATATCTCAGTAGTAATTTTTATGTTGGTGACATGTTGAAATCATAATGGTGGGGAGATATTAGGTTAAATAAAATACATCATAAAAATCTTTTTAAAAGTTATGTTCGTAAATGTAAGCTCAGGTTTCTCATTAAGAATTTGAAATATTTTATTTGGAAAATTTCATACAAATTCGGTTTTTAATATGTCTCTAAGGGCTTTATTTTCATTCTTATAACACTTTTACAGAAAGAAAACGTAATTATTTTTCCCCATCAAGCTCCACATAGGTGTCCCCCAATGCCCCTCTGGTTGACTCAAGTGTGCCATAGAAATACTGTTAGCTTTTCATCACTGTGACAAAACAGCTGGGAGTACAACTTAAAGGAGGAAAGATTTTGGCTTGTAGTTTGAGAAGTTTCAGTCCGTGCTTGGCGGCCGCCCTCGCTTTTAGGCCTGTGCTGAGGCAGAAGCGTCTTGGGGAGGTGGCGTGGAGGACAAGCTGCTCAGGTGATGGCAGCCAGGAAGCGGGAGGTAAGAAGGGGCTGGAGACGAGATATACTCCTCAAGGCTAGGGCCCCACGATCCACGTCCCTCAACCAGGCCCCACCTCCTGTTCCTCCTCCCAATGATGCCATCAGATTATGAGCTCATCAGTGGGTTAACAACAGGATGAGTCAGAACTGCCACCTTCCAATCACTTCCCCGAGCCCATCACTGATCCATACAAAGAGCACTGTGGGAGATATTTTAGATCCCGGATAACAAAGGCATTTCCTATGAGTGTAATGATGTGGAATAGTTTTATTTTTTTAATGTTTTTTTCTTTTCTTTTTTTTGTCTTTCTTTGTCTCACTATGCAGTTCAGGCTGGTCTTGAACTCACTTTGTAGCCCAGGCTGGCCTTGAACTCACAACGATCCTCCTACCTCAGCCTCCCAAGTGCTGGGGTTACAGGTGTGTGCCACCGCACCCGGCTCTTATGTGGAATAGATTTAAAGCAGGCCCTTTTTTTTTTGTACTGGGAATCGAACTCAGGACCTTGTGCTTGCTAGGCAGGTGCTTATGATGCTGAGCCCCAGCCCTAAGCAGGCACTTTTTGAGCATCTGTCAGAGGCAGGTGCCACTGGCTTCTGAGGATGCAGCATTAACTGCACATGCTACATACTGTATTGTGTATCGATCAATAATTATGCAAAGGCAACCTTTGTTGTCCTGTTAAGGAGCTTCCGGAAAGCTGCTCTGCTGGTTACAGAAAGCTTGGGTATCTTAGAGAGGCTTGAACCAGCCACAGAGTAGCAGGTCCTGAGGTGACTGAGTAACAAGGAGAGGAGGGGCCCTTTGCCTTTCTGAGCTTTAGGTTCAAATCGGGCCCTTGCTGGCTCCTTATTGAATGTTTGTACTACCTGAGGATTTCTCCTGTCCTTCTGTGACCTCCCAAAGTCTGTGCTCAGCTGCCAAACATCTGTGTGCAGCTCTCCTATAACCCACACGCCTGGGGTGCGACCTGCCAGAAAGCAGAGGCCAGGCTGCCCAAGTGCTTGTAAACACCCCTATTTCTTACACATGTGACTTTAGCAAGCCATTTAGTTCTTGTTATGGGTCAGCCCAATGCCAAGACCAACACCTCTGCACTGAGTTCTGCACACTCCATAAACGGCCTCTGCAGGGCAGGAAGCCACCTGGGTGCCACTTGCCCTTTAACTCCAGAGTGGTTGGCACCTTCTCAGCTCTCTGGAGGTCAGGAACTCGGACTCGCCGAGCCCCTGAGACTGCCCACTTGGAAAATCAGGGAGACGGGGAGGGGCTAGAAGTCAACACTGGTCCCAGGCTATTGGGTCACCTTCTGTTCAGATGAATGCAGCTTTTTCAAATTCTGGGTGGCCTTGGGCCTGCTGTGTGATGTAACTGCATCATAACTTTCTCCATCTCTGTTCCTGAACCTACACAACTGTGCCCGAAGCAGTGGGTGCACAAGTGTGGACGGCACGCGTTATCCTGAAAACTACGTCCAGGTGTGGGCAGACAGTGGAGGGATGGACTCAGTTATACAAGTGGTACACTGAGACGGGGATCATCTATGTTACTGTTAAACTGTTTAAATAGCAAATAAAGTTTCAAACTTTAAAAACCCAGTCGGTTATTTTTAATACAGTCTATGTTTAACATATTTAAGGGGATAGATTGATAAAGCCCTTTGCAGACAGTCAGTTAAAAGAATTTTTGCCATTTAAATCTTTAACAATAGGTGAAAGATTATGTAAATTATAGTAATAAAGAATTGCCATTTATTGTACACTTACTCTGTACCAGGTACCAGGCTGTCTTACATGATTTATTTTATGTTTTAAAAAATACTCAAGGTAGCTGGGTGTAGTGGCACACACCTGTAATCCTAGCACTCAGGAGGCTGAGGCAGGAGGATTGTTGTGAGTTTGAGACCAGCCTGAACTACAAAGTGAGCTGAAGGCCAGCCTACACTGCATAGCAAGACCCTATCTCAAAAAGACCAAAAACAAAAACAAAAATAAAAACAGAAACAAACAAAGAAAAAACCCTCAAAATAACCCTGCAGAATAGGACTACAATTATTATAAATTTTTTTCCTGTGCTAGGGTTTGAACCCAGGGCATTCACACTGGGCTACAACACCAGCCACCCCCTTTCATTTTGAAACAGGATCTCGCAAAATTGCTAAATTGCCCAGACTGGGCTCAAAATTGTAATCCTCCTGCTTCAGGTTCCCAGAATGCTGGGATTGTAGGCATGTGTCACTACACTGGCACATATAATTTTTATTTCATAAATGATAAAGCTAAGACATAGGTACATTCAACAACTCACAATGACCTCATAGCTAGCTAGTGGCAAGGTTGGGATTTAAACCCAAGACTGTTTGGTTCTACACCCAAGTTTTAATTACCAGGTTATTAAGCCATGTATTAACACCCAGCCATGGTAGGTTTTCATAGCCACGCATACTGTGAGTGGGGCTACAGTGGTTAGAAACTTTAACAAAGGCAATTTTCTAGCATGTATTGCAATTTTAAGATTACACATACCACTTGTCACAAGATCTCATTTGTAGGACACTGTCATGGTTAATTTTATGCATCAACTTGCCTGGGCTACGGGAGGCCCACAAAGCTATTTCTGGTGTGTCTTGTGCCCATGAAACTGTTTCCATAGACACTGGCATTGGAATCAGTAGACTGAGTAAAGAAAATGCCCCCTCCCCAACGTGGTGGGCACCATCCAGTCCCTCGAGGGAGCAAAGTGGGGGTGGAGAGGGAGCAAAGTCACTTTCTCTCCTGGAACCAAGCGCCCCTCCCTCCTGCCATTGGACACCGGTGTGCTTGGTTCTTGAGCCTTCAGAGCTGGAGTCTTGCATCAGCATCCTCCCAGCCCTCACCTTTCTCAGTCTTGGCCTTGGGCCAGGAGTTAACAGCTCCCCTGGTTTTCAGTCCTTTCCATTGGCTTTCCCAAGTCTCCAGTTTTGAGGTGGCAGATGGCGGTGGGACTTCTTGGCCTCCATTATTATGTAAGCCAGTTCCCATAATAAATATCGCATACGTGTGTGTGTACTTCCATGTGCACATCCTATTGGTTTTGACTCTGAGAAACACTCATGCATATGCATAAGGTCAGATGTCCCGGTGGTAAATCCTAAATGTCCTTTTATGGGGAATGGCAAGACCATAGATGGGATGTTTGGCGGCTTTCTTGTAGAGCACTGGGTCCCTATGTACTGATAAGGAAATGTCTCTGAGATACGCTGTAACATGAAAAAGCTACTTGTAGAACCATTTTTCCAAAGGCCCTTCTGTCTGAGTAGGAGGGCTCCTACAGAAGAACCGTACCAGGGCTGCAGGATAAACTGTGACAAGTGGTTTCCTCAGGGGTGTGAGAGGAAAAAGGAGGGATAAGGGAAATCGTTGCCTTTTCCTTTATCTACTTCTGAATTATTTTATTCTCGACAATGAACCTCTATTGCTTTTATAATTTAAAAAATGTAATATGGGAAAAATTAATGTTTTCAAGCAGTTTTTAATGACATGGGAAAATACTGTATGTAACAAGTGAACAAATTAGAGCATGAAGTTATGTATCTAGTATGACCTCAGCTTCAGAAAAATGCATTTAAAATCCAGGAAGGAAATATATCAAAATGTTAACAGGGACTGCCTCTGGGTGGCAGGATTATAGGCCCTGGTTTTTTGGTTTCCAAACATTTTCTGCCTGCCTTGACTTTTCTATATTTTCTAAATGTGCCTTATTGTTTTCATAATTAGAAAAAAAGCAGGCACGCCTGCCAAAATTGTGTGGCGGGTGTGAAACGCAGCAGCTGAGGCCTGGGGACGGCTTCCACTCTGGGCTGCTGCCCCTGGCCGCGGGGCTTGCCTGCCCAGCCGCTGTGCCCGGCCACCCGGGGAAACTTCCCTGACTCCATGAGCTCAATGGAAGAGAAAAGATGGTGAGATTGCGAGAGGAAAAAGGAGAGTGAGACACCACAGGAAAGGGCAGCAAAGAGGCTGAGGTCTCCAATGGGGCCTGAGTTAGGCCGTGAAGGTGAGGGCACCCCTGCCCCAACCTGCTAGCATTTTGCTGTTTTCCTTTGTTTGTCTGTCTGTTTGCTTGTTTGTTTGAGACAGGGTCTCACTATGTAGTTCAGGTTGGCCTTGAACTCACTATGTAACCCAGGCTGGCCTTTAACTCACAGCGATCCTCCTGCCTCAGCCTCCCTATAATCCTCAGGTGCTGGGATTATAGGCATGTGCCACCATGCCCAGCTCTGTTTTGGTGTGTTTTGGATGGGGCTTACTATGTAATTCAGGTTGGCCATGAGCCCACTATGTAGTCCAAGCTGGTCTTGAACTAGTGGCGATGCTCCTGCCTCAGCCTCTCAAGGGACTATCATGCCTGGAAATCAAGTAAAACCTTAGTAGTCTGCCTCTACCCTTTTAAATCCTAGGCTTCCCAGATAAATCAGAAAGAAGCAG